TCAATCAGCTGTAACTGTATGTGCACTCGTAAATCAGGTCCTTTCTTGAGCTGGGCTCAGGGATATAACAGCCATGGGGTATCTGATTTTATGATGGATTATGGAGGAGGGGGGTTGAGTACATTGTATGATTTTTAAGTAATTAATTTGCATTTTATTGCATGACATAATTATTTGATACATCAGAAAAGCAGAACTTAATATTTGGTACAGAAACCTTTGTTTGCAATTACAGAGATCATACGTTTCCTGTAGGTCTTGACCAGGTTTGCACACACTGCAGCAGGGATTTTGGCCCACTCCTCCATACAGACCTTCTCCAGATCCTTCAGGTTTCGGGGCTGTCGCTGGGCAATACGTACTTTCAGCTCCATCCAAAGATTTTCTATTGGGTTCAGGTCTGGAGACTGGCTAGGCCACTCCAGGACCTTGAGATGCTTCTTACGGAGCCACTCCTTAGTTGCCCTGGCTGTGTGTTTCAGGTCGTTGTCATGCTGGAAGACCCAGCCACGACCCATCTTCAATGCTCTTACTGAGGGAAGGAGGTTGTTGGCCAAGATCTCGCGATACATGGCCCCATCCATCCTCCCCTCAATACGGTGCAGTCGTCCTGTCCCCTTTGCAGAAAAGCCTCCCCAAAGAATGATGTTTCCACCTCCATGCTTCACGGTTGGGATGGTGTTCTTGGGGTTGTACTCATCCTTCTTCTTCCTCCAAACACGGCAAGTGGAGTTTAGACCAAAAAGCTCTATTTTTGTCTCATCAGACCACATGACCTTCTCCCATTCCTCCTCTGGATCATCCAGATGGTCATTGGCAAACTTCAGATGGGCCTGGACATGCGCTGGCTTGAGCAGGGGGACCTTGAGTGCGCTGCAGGATTTTAATCCATGACGGCGTAGTGTGTTACTAATGGTTTTCTTTGAGACTGTGGTCCCAGCTCTCTTCAGGTCATTGACCAGGTCCTGCCGTGTAGTTCTAGGCTGATCCCTCACCTTCCTCATGATCATTGATGCCCCACAAGGTGAGATCTTGCATGGAGCCCCAGACCGAGGCTGATTGACCGTCATCTTGAACTTCTTCCATTTTCTAATAATTGCGCCAACAGTTGTTGCCTTCTCACCAAGCTGCTTGCCTATTGTCCTGTAGCCCATCCCAGCCTTGTGCAGGTCTATCATTTTATCCCTGATGTCCTTACACAGCTCTCTGGTCTTGGCCATTGTGGAGAGGTTGGAGTCTGTTTGATTGAGTGTGTGGACAGGTGTCTTTTATACAGGTAACGAGTTCAAACAGGTGCAGTTAATACAGGTAATGAGTGGAGAACAGGAGGGCTTCTTAAAGAAAAACTAACAGGTCTGTGAGAGCCGGAATTCTTACTGGTTGGTAGGTGATCAAATACTTTTGTCATGCAATAAAATGCAAATTAATTACTTAAAAATCATACAATGTGATTTTCTGGATTTTTGTTTTAGATTCCGTCACTCACAGTTGAAGTGTACCTATGATAAAAATTACAGACCTCTACATGCTTTGTAAGTAGGAAAACCTGCAAAATCGGCAGTGTATCAAATACTTGTTCTCCCCACTGTAGTTCGGCAGACAGTCTATTGTATGGACATTGGTGGTTGGTTGACAAACTGTGATTTACAGTATCCTCATCTGTACTACTGTACATACACCTGCTCCATCCCCTCAAGAAATTACATTATAATATCCACCTACTTGGATTCTGACTGAGGACCAGTTGAGTTCAGCACTGGTACCTTTTGTGGCAAACGGTGTGTCAGGCAATCAACCCAAAAGAGAACCATTCATCTTGATGACCAGAAAAAGTAATTGGGGAGGGAGAACGAGAGTCCTCTGATGAGGAACAGTACACTACCTGCAGATGGTGAGATTGTGGTGAATTATTATTAATGAACTGTAGAGTTTAATGGACTATGAGGTAGAACTGGGTTAATCAAGAGCATAAAGGTAGAATTCTTTGTTACTGGGCCAGGAATTGTATTGGGTCATTTAATTTCACTGTGTGGGTGAGTAGAGAGGGAATCTGCCCTAGGGTCAAATTGCTTGCTCTTACTTAAATCCATGGCTGTCTTATGTGATGAGAGACTGAAACTAGCTTGTGGCCTTTTGTCTCTCTCTTCAAACACAGTGAAGGGAGCGGCACCAGGGTTGAATGGAGTTTGAGCTAGACCTTTGTCTCCTTGGTATCTTCTTGATTGATTACAGCATGATGGGGTGAGGTTTGTGTATGTTAGGTTTAGCCGCCCTCAGAGACAAAGGAAGTGGGCGTGGAGTGATAAAGAGCGGGAAACTGAAGAGGGAGGGATTTAGAGCTAGAAGAGTTGGGGATGATGGTATATAATGTGACGTGAGGGAGAGGGAACGGGGTGCCACTCTGCAGACTGGTATCGGCTTTGTTGAAACTTTAATAAAGTCATTTCTTGATGCAACAAAAACTCTGTAAGACCTTATTTGTAATAAAGTATAGTGGTTATTTTCCACAACAAGATCCAGATTATTATTATTGCCTATCTATTGTTTGTCATTCATCATGTTTGTTCCAAAAGCAAGAAGATATGTCTACATTTCTTGGGATCAATTAGATATTTTAATGTAATGTAGCATGACCAAAACAAACAGTATTCAATTTATATAGAATAAACATAGAATACATGTATGGTATAGTAATGATAATTCTTTTTTGTTTGAGAGCTGTTAAAAATGTGAGTTCTGTATTAATTCAATGCATTACATTATTGGTTTTGTTCACAGAAGAAGACCAAACAGGTAATGTGGGATATGGGAATCCCTCCATGGAGAATGCCTTTAACAACCATCAGGAGTTGGGCGATCAGGGGGGTCAGGAGAAGGGACAGTTGTTGCTCAGTGTCCTTGCAGAAGCTTTGAGGGTTAGTCATGATGTTCCTCAAGAGAGACATGAAGCTACTGTGGAGGTGCCACAGGGAGATACAGTGCATTCAGAATGTATTCAGACCCCACTTTTTCCACATTTTGTTACGTTACAGCCTTATTCTAAAATGGATTAAATAAATAAAAAATCCTCATCAATCTACACACAAAACCCCATGACGACAAAGCGAAAACAGGTTTGTAGAAATTTTAGCAAATGTATTACAAATAAAAAACAGAAATACCTTATTTACATAAGTATTCAGACCCTTTGCTATGAGACTCAAAATTGAGCTCAGATGCATCCTGTTTCCATTGATCATCCTTGAGATGTTTCTACAACTTGGAGTCCACCTGTGGTAAATTCAATTGATTGGACATGATTTGGAAAGGCACACACCTGTTGGCAGTGCATGTTGGCAGTGGGGCGGCAGGTAGCTTAGTGGTTAAGAGCGTTGTGCCAGTAACCGAAAGGTCGCTGGTTCTAATCCCCGAGCCGACTAGGTGAAAAATCTGTCGATGTGCCCTTGAGCAAGGTACTTAACCCTAATTGCTCCTGTAAGTCGCTCTGGATAAGAGCGTCTGCTAAATGACTAAAATGTAAATGTATGTCAGAGCAAAAACCAAGCCTGCGGGACATGTCTCTGAATGTCCTTGAGTGGCCCAGCCAGAGCTGAATGGGAGAAAATCCCCAAATACGGGTGAGTGTAGCACCATAATGCCCTGTAGATGGAGATAGGCAGTAAGGCTATTGGTCATTGCTTTTCCCCTGAGAAGAAGAAGCCCAAAACAGTCTGCTTGGCTTGTGGGAGTAGTACTCTAATATTGTAAATTCCAAAACGTATAGTAATTCACAACACATACAGTAATCAGTAACTCAATTTGAATGCGTTTTGGATGGCCCCATTAGAGACGTAGGATGGTATTTCACTTATATTTTTCAATGGATAGTCCACCAACTACATGCTTCCTCAATAGAATCCCAGGGGATATTATCATTAAGATACGGTGTTTCCCCTTAAATCCTTATCACAACCTATTATCAAAACACTGACAGTCTTCCAGGGGAGCTAGAGACATTAACCTGGAAGAACTGGCAGCCTGACTCACTTGAAAAACAATTATCCTGTTAACAATGCTGTTAATTCTGTACATGCTTCCTCAATAATATCCCAGAGGAGAATATCATCAAGGTCTGGTGTTTCCCCTTAAATCCTTATCACAACATATTATCAAAACACTGACAGTCTTCCAGGGGAGTTAGAGACATTAACCTGGAAGAACTGGCAGCCTGTCCTGTTAATGCTGTTTCCTTCCTCTTTCCAATGTAATAGACAGCTTACTGGTAAAGTCAGCATTTACCTAGAACTGATACACAAAACAAATCACGATCGGATAGACAGGTACTTAGTGTGTATACTTCCCCTTGTCGTTGACAAAATTGTAACAATGACTTAGAATCGTTGACTAACCAATTTGAGGGAAATCCTTGAGTAAGGCCGGAAACACTCAATAAACTCGTACTTCTCGAATCCATGAAGAAGAAATGACGGACAACTACACAGAGGTGCCTTACAGACATGATGCATAGTCCTTTTTGTAACATAAATAATTCAACATGCAAAATACAACATACAAATCTATAAGAAGCTATAAGAACACATTATTCTCATGGAGGAAAAAACTGCAATAACCTAAAATAACTGTATTATACAATATAACAAATGTCTACTTTTCACAGCACCCTCAAAAGCTCATAAGGTACAGCAATGTGAAATAAGTCCCTTTAAGAATGCCCATATACAACAAAAGACAGGCTATTTTGCAACAATCTCATACATTACAGTAGAATGGCTTATCATTGGATGGTTAACACTGCAGACTTGACTCATTAAGAGTGTTCAACAATCATTTGGCCTGTACTTTGGTCATCACTTGTTATCACAGACACAAAGTCACCTACAATTTATCTTCTTAAAATATGATTTTAAACCTCTAACCTTAACCTTAACCACACTGCTAACCTTATGCCTAACCCTAACCTTAAATTAAGACCAAAAAGCTAGTGGTAACTAGTGGAAACCCTATACCTTGGAGAAAAAGGATGGGCCACCCTGGGAGCTGGTGGTGTCCTGGATGTCCAGGAGGGTCTTCTTCACCCTCTTCACAGCCGAGGCAGAAAGGTTGGACTTGAGGCTAAGCAGGGCGGTCACCTGGACGTCACTGTGGGTCAAAGGGGAAAAGGTTGAGCTCATCGGTTGTTCAATGCAAACACAGAATCATCTGCAGTGTGTTATTGGCCTTGTGCAATGAACTTCAACTGAATTTAGCATTATAACCTGAATTATTTCTGAATCAATATAAGCCATCACTACATAGTATGCAAAGGAGATACAAAATCACATAGCTACAGTATTATGTAATAACAGTTATGTGAGTAAGAAGTATGAAAGTTCAACCTGAGGTCAGGGTAAGCTTGACTCAGAGTCACTATCTCCAGCTGTATGGAGGAAATGTCTTGGAGTTTCAGCACTTCAGCAATCCTGGGCAGAATGTCACTCAGCCACTCCTCCTTGGAACCCTGTGAAAACAGTCACAATGTTATCTCCAGTGTGTGAGTGTGTGTGTGGACGTGTTTAACTATTCTTGAGGGGACCACAAGTCCCCACAAGAATTGTAAACAAACAAACATTTGACCAACTGGGGACATTTTGTTAGTCCCCACGAGGTCAAATGCTATTTCTAGGGGGTTTAGGGTTAAGGTTAGAATGAATGTTAGGGTTAGAATTACGTTAAGGGTTAGGGTTAGGAGCTAGGGTTAGTTTTAGGGTTAGGAGCTAGGGTTAGGGTTAAGGCTAGGTTTTTGGGTTAAGGTTAGGGTTAGGGTTAGGGTTATGGTTTGGGTTAGGGTAAGAGTACGGGTTAGTTTTAGGGTTAGGGGTTAGGGAAAATAGGATTTTGAATGGGACTGAATTGTGTGTCCCCACAAGGTTAGCTGTACAAGACTGTGTGTATGTGTGTGTGTATTCTCACCGCTTCAGTGAACAGTTTGTTTAGTCTCTGGCCATCCTCACACACAGACCTGGCCGCCTGCTCCTGTATCTCTTTGTCTCTCAGCTTGATCTTCCTCTTCAGTAGCCTCCTCACGTACTCCACTGTCACCTCCAAGTGCAGCTGGCCCAGCAGCTCCTGCATAACCATCCAACCATTCAATCAATCAATCAATCAACTTCTCAATCTATCAATCAATCAATCAGCCATTCCATCTCTCAATCGATCTGTCAATCAATTTACCTGATGGCAGGAGTCATTCAAGCCCCTAAGGTCCTGGGTGTGTTTGTTAATTCCTTCAAACAGCTTCTCACACACCTGTGTCTTCTTCTCCAACCATATGGGCGTTCCCAGACTGCTGTACTGAGACTGTGTGTGTGTTTGTGTGTTTGAGTGTGTGTTTGTTTATGTGTGTGTGTGTAGAGAGGAGGAGGCAGATAGACAACAGATCAATATCAAGACCAATGACAGGCTAGTAGGTACATTCCACTTTATATTACTTCCTTTGCTCAGATGCAAAGTCAAACTTTTCACAAAGTTTGGATATGAGTTGTGTAAGTCAGCAATACCTTGAGGTCCTTGTGTATGGGGCTTTTTAAAGATGTGTAGCCACAGTTTTTCATATCAGCTACTATGGACAGACAGCATTCCTTTACATCCACTGGGAAGATATCTGTTTTCTTCACAATATAGTCCCTGTGTGGAATCATACCCATCAAATTAGATGACTAGATTATGTCATGGTGGTCCTATCAATTTGGACATCACATCACATCAAGAGAAAATAAAACATACCTAAATTGTTCAACACAGGAAAGATTGGCCATTATCACAGTTCTGCTGTTTCTGTTGTTGCTTCCTTTGAGAACTTTCTCCTGGAATTTCTTGTAGCTGCAAGTGTGTAATTTGGTACATTAGTAATAGATCATCTTGATTTTATAGTATTTGGAGTAGAATACAACACAATGCATTGTTCCTTCATGATTCATAACATGCAATTCTGTCCTGCAAAAAGTTTATATTACCTATTCAAGAAGTCCTTCAACAGGCACGCAATCATCTGGACTTTGGACGTGTCTCCCAAAACTGTCTCTACTGATTCGAATGCAGCATTAATAAACTAAAGGGACAGAGAAATAGAAAATTAGGTGGTTAAAGATGGACAGTTAGTGACCTTTCCATTTGAAATTAATCTCTGTTGAAATAAACAACGTAATTTGTGACTAACTGAATAGTAAGAGCGATAAAGGCATGAGGGTGCCAAATATTTCCTATATGATGTCTACCTGAATGACATCGATGGCCAAGGGGCTAAAGTAACAGTTGTCTCTGAGCTCAGGCACAGATCCCTCCCTCCAGGCTTGCTCCTCCACATTCAGCACTTTGTTGATCAATGTCTGCACCTCTGTCTGAAAATAGGGCATAAACAAAACAATGCATCATCTAACAAGGGATATATTTATCTTTGGGCTAATTACTGTAAACCTAACTTTTTTATGATCCACAATCAATCATTCACATCTAGGCGGGTAAATCTAATATTTTTCTGGGTCAGAAAGCTGTGGTCCAATTTGCAGGACACATTTTTATTTAAATCATATTTACCTCTTGAAGAGTAAGATATTGATTCTCCAGTGGTGTTGTTAACTCTTCAGTCAACAGCTTTCCCAAAGCTTCAGGGTTAATCGCCTTGGTCAGTTCCAGATTTTGTAGAATCCTAAGACAAAAACCAGGAGTCACTATGTTAGTCAGTCACATCTCCTAACATCCTTATATAGTATTTGAATAACCAAACACAAACAAGACATCACTCACCCTGGGTAGGCAACATTCACCCAATGCAGGAGGTAAGAGCAGTCAACCATGCCCAGCCCATACTCCGCAATCTTTCTCATCCCTGCACTGAAGGCTTGGTGGTAAATCTTTCCATAGAGGTTGCAGATATCCATGTCCTCTGGGTAACAGCCCTTCACATCCTTCACCACCCTCAGCAGGTCCTCCTGCAGGCATCTGCCCTTCCCACAGATGTCCCTCTGCAGGGAGGAGCGTAGCTTGCTGCTCTCTTCAGGGGGCAATTTGGCATGGTCCATACGCTCCTCCACCAGCCTCTGGAGGACAGTGTCATGGTGATGTCTACACTCACTGGGTCTCCAGGTAGGCTGTTTACCATCCTGCTTCAGCCATCGCCTATCCTGCTCCTCCTCCTGTAGGATAGCCTTCACTGCAGACTTCAGAGCCTCCAGACTGTCTTCGTCCGGACTGAGAGAACTCTTCACAGCTAGGTCTATGTGGCTGAGGAGGGCTTTGCGATCTCTGGTGAGCTGCTCTTTCTCCTCATTCTCCCTCTCTGTGGTCGGCTGAACTACTTCTTCTGAGATCCGTCCATATAGACGCTCCTCTCTGTCAATCAGCTGTTGGCCAGCAGCAGACAGGCGATTTCTCTTAAGGTTCTGCTCAAAAGTCAACACCTCTGAGGGAAAAGACAACAAAAACAGTGTAGTGTTTACAGTGTCTAAACTATCTGCCATAAAACATGTACATACGAATGTATGATGTGTGTTAGAACCAACTACAGATGTGATATAAACAAATAAACAGTCATGAGAAAAAATTTTAAATTCCATATCAGGGATTTTTATGATAACCTTTGACAAGAAAATAATGATTTTAAAAAAAGAGATGCAATGGCAGATAGAGAAGGTGAGAACTCATTGCAAGTTTTACTCACCCTCGAGGGGGGCGGCCATAAGACTGGATGTGTTGGGTACATCTGGAGCAGAGATGTTGGTGTTACTCTTGGAGTTCCGTTTTAGGATGGAGGGCAGTGTAAAATGTTTAAACTTTCTTCCAGTTGATGTTGTCTTTCCACTGTGTTCCACTGGAGATTCTGGCTTAGTGGATCCTGTTCCTGCAGGTTTCCTGGTTTGCAGGGTCCTCATTGCTACAGAGAGACAGTCAGAGACAGATGGACATTACTTCATTTGCATCAGAGATGGCATGCCAATAGGGGTGTTTAACAGATATGCTACACGCGAGTCAGATACAATGTGTTATAAACTGATGGCGTTCAATCTGCTACATTATTAAATATTGTAGCGACATTCACCCAACACCTAGCGACCTCAGCAAGAGGTTTGGGCATTTTAGCATAACGGTTAATGTATTGGCTTGACTATCGCTGGACCAGGGTTCGAATCTCAGTCTGAGCCACCCCCCGGATTCGCTACAATATTTAACAATTTAAAGGCGTTTTTATCTCGCATTATCTCTGTCTACCCTAAACAAACATTGGGTAAAAGGTTAGACATACAGTCTGCATATATATAATTGCTAAGTATATTTTGTTAATGAAAACATTTGACATCATAAGTAAACTTTCAGTATGTAGAGGCAAAAGAAAACATGCAGTATAGACCTACCTGCTAAAGCCAGAAATAAAAATAAGTGTGAACAGAAAGGAATAGATCTACTCTCCCGACAGGACTGGTCATTTTTGAATAGAGTAAAAGCACTTCCATTTATAGGCTACAGCAGGCTAGGATGGGCTCGCATGGCAGGTCTCATAGACTAGACGTAACATAGTAAACGTAAATCCGGGTCTCATAGACTAGACGTAACATAGTAAACGTAAATCCGGGATACTCAAATTAGTATGATATGTTATGTTTGGTATGGTTACATAAAACCACGGCCGGCCCGCTCATTAGGCAGGATTAGGAGGCCGCCTATGGTTGCAGATTGACGAGGGCAGCATTTTCTGAGTTAAACTGACCAAGACAGGTGTGGTCCTCTGTAGCTCAGCTGGTAGAGCACGGCGCTTGTAACACCAGGGTAGTGGGTTCGATCCCCGGGACCACCCATACACAGAAATGTATGCACGCATCACTGTAAGTCGCTTTGGATAAAAGCGTCTGCTAAATGGCTTATTATTATTAAGACGCAACAGCAACACATAAAACCTCACATAATTCTGCCCAAAAACAATGATAGTTTCTCTCAACCAGTGGCATATGGGTTTTTTAGGTGAGTGCTGATGCCTCCCTGTGATAAGTGGCCACTTTGTCAGGGCAGGGGGGAAACATATTTTGCTTGTCCATTCCCAGCGTGCCTCTCCAGGGTGCTGTTGGAGAGTGTGAAAGCTAAAATACCACCTCTGCAAGATTAACAACTCAACTTGACCCTGCCTACCCAATAGCGGTCAGTTATTCCCTGCCATTAATCCCCCAGGTCTGATAGATGCCGCTCTGCTTTACCACTGAGCTAGTTTACAGCTAGGAACTGTTCCTCAAACTCAACAGTAAGGGCCTTATAGTAAAGTGGGCTATCCTCAGAGCCTAGTGCCTATGCTGCCTTGCTATCGTTCCACCTGGTGCCTTCTCAGGATGGTTAGGAACACAGATAGGTTATTATAGTGTGCTACTTCCACCGTAGCACACTATTTCCTGGATTGATTTAGCTCAGAATCCCGCCTCTTACGACGCTGACCAATGCACTCAGTACCTATAGTTCGGTCTCAGGTTATTTTATCCCAGCAACTCGGGTTCACAATGGACAAATTAACCAGATGCTAAAAATCCTCAATCAATCAAGTCTATCTCAGAAACCTAGAGTAAAACGACATGCCCTTGTATGGCTCTTTGACAGGGTTTCAGAACAATAAAGCAAGTTTATTCAAAATTCCAGAAACAGGCATAAAAAGTCCCTGTTCAATCAATCAATCAGTCATTATCACAAATCAATAATCACACAAGCAATTGTGATAAGCAAAAATTAACCATGGATTAGATACCTTCATCACCTTTATATAAACCCCTATTAGGCTGCCAATGCAATTTTTTGTATCTATTACAATTTTATGAGAAGCACAGCATTTAATAACAAGAAAAACATTTTCTTACCTTCTACAACTATAAAGAGTTTTTGTCGCCCCCCTCAGGATGATCAGTCCCTCAGTCGGTGTCTAAAAACTCTAACAGCTCCTTTAAAACTTATATCAATAAGGTAAGCTTAAGGATTTATTGTAGAACTTTACTTTAACACTTTAAGAATAAAAACGAAACATATCTTAAGCTAAAAAGTTACAGCAAAATCTTTCTTCAGCAGACAACAGGTTCTTCTAGCAAGCCCAAAGAGACTCTTCTCCACTAAAAATTCCTGCCTTTTTAAATATCTTAATCCTTATTCTAATGACGCATGTATTAGTTAACACCTGCTATCCTAATAACCTATCTGTGTTCCTAACCCCGCCCCTAACAACACTTATATTCTCGCTGACTCTTCTGCAAATCTTACACCTGCATCTGCAAACTCTCAAAGGGGCTTTTTTCAGCAACCCACTAACCCCCACTTTTTCCTCATCCTTTCTAAAACCACAGGCTCCTCCCCTCCCCAGGCTCAATCAAGCCATGATTTAATTAACTTATTTTCACCTAAGTTGGATGCTGCCCCCAATACCAAATGATACGAGCCTCGCATCCACATGATTGGGTGACATGTCTGGTGAGTATGCAGGCCATGGATGAACTGGGACATTTTCAGCTTGCAGGAATTGTGTACAGATCCTTGCGACATGGGGCCATGCATGATCATGCTGAAACATGAGTTGATGGCGGCAGATGAAGGACACGACAATGGGCCTCAGGATCTCATCATGGTATCTCTATTCATTCAAATTGCCATTGATAAAATGCAATTGTGTTCGATGTCCGTAGCTTATGCCTGCCCATACCATAAACCCGCTGCCACCATGGGGCACTCTGTTCACAATGTTTACATCAGCAAACCGCTTGCCCACACAACGCCATACACGCTGTCTGCCATCTGCCCAGTACAGTTGAAACCGGGATTCATCCGTGAAGAGCACACTTCTCCAGTGTGCCAGTGGCCATCGAAGGTGAGCATTTGCCCACTGACGTCAGTTACGACGCCGAACTGCAGTCAGGTCAAGAGCCTGGTGAGGACGACGAGCACGCAGATGAGCTTTCCTGAGACAGTTTCTGACAGTTTGTGCAGAAATTCTTTGGTTGTGCAAACCCACAGTTTCATCAGCTGTCCAGGTGTCTGGTCTTAGACGATCCCGCAGGTGAAGATGCCAGATGTGGAGGTCCTGGGCTGGTGTGGTTACACGTGGTTTGCGGTTGTGAGGCCGGTTGGACATACTGCCAAATTCTCTAACACGACATTGGTAGAGAAATGAACATTAAATTATCTGGCAACAGCCCTGGTGGACATTCCTGCAGTAGCATGCCAATAGTACGCTCCCTTAAAACTTGAGACATCCGTGGCATTGTGTTGTGTGACAAAACTGCACATTGTAGAGAGGCCTTTTATTGTCCCCAGCACAAGGTGCACCTGTGTGATGATCACGCTGTTTAATCAGCTTCTTGATATGCTACATCTGTCAGGTGGATGGATTATTTTGGCAAAGGAGAAATGCTCACTAACAGGGATGTAAACAAATTTGTGCACAGAATTTGAGAGAAATAAGGTCTTTGTGCGTAAGGAACATTTCTGCCATCTTTTATTCAGCTCATGAAAAATGGAACCCACACTTTAAATGTTGGGTTTATATTTTTGTTCAGTGTAGTTTGGGTAAAATGGTTTCAAGATGTTTGGCTAGAACCTTGGCATACAATTTCATGTCACCGGGTGATGCTTTCTTTATTAATTTGAGATTTAATTCATTAAAATAAGTATTTCTAACTAATATTTTTATTTGTTATCAACAAATATGTTTGAGGTGACGCTCATATAGAAATTATGAATGGGTATTTTCCAAATGCTGCTAAATGTACATTTGTTACTTTTTACAAATTCGTAAAATATTGTAGGAATTGTAATTCATAACATAGCATACGAAATGGATGATGGACATCCGCAAATTAATACATACTATACAAAACCTAACATAACATGTCATACTACTGTACTCCTGAGTGGCGCAGTGGTCTAAGGCACTGCATCGCAGTGCTAACTGTGCCACTAGAGATCCTGGTTTGAATCCAGGCTCTGTCGCAGCCGGCCGCGACCGGGAGACTCATGGGCGGTGCACAATTGGCCCAGGGTAGGGGAGGGAATGGCCGGCAGGGATGTAGCTCAGTTGATAGAGCATGGTGTTTGCAATGCCAGGGTTGTGGGTTTGATTCCCACGGGGGGCCAGTATAAAAAACAAAACAAAGAAATGTATTCACTAACTGTAAGTTGCTCTGGATAAGAGCGTCTGCTAAATATGTGTAAATGTAAAAAATACTAAATGGAGTGTCTCAGATTTACATACAGAATACGAAAATGCTCTGAAGAAACACATCATATGTTTAGCAAATTCGTAACATATTGTACGAATTGTAATTTGTTACATATTATACAAAATGGATGATGGACATCCACAAATATAATACGAAACATAACATATCATACTAAAAGAAGTGTTTCAGATTTACGTACAGAATAATACCAAATGCTCTGAGACCACGTTGCAACCGTCAGTGAAATGGCGTCCTATGAGGTCTAGCGCGAGAACGCGCTCTTTGAAAGCTTAGTTGTTTGATTTATTTTCTGTTATGTAATGTCATTGAGTTCTAGACTTGAGAAAATTAAGAAATTATCATGACCTGCTTCGTCCCTCAACCTCTTTAATAACTTCATTCTGCATGAGCGCGCGTTTCTATGAATCAAGGGGTTCTCTGCAATAGCAATAGACAGGTCAGGAGGATACCAGGAAGTCATTTTATAACGAGGTTGAGCTGCTCTTTGGCAACCTGGTTTCTTCATATGAAGTTAATGGCTTTCATGTAGGCGTGGCTTTGCTTCTGTGGTCTGATGATGCTGTGGAGTCTGTCATTTTCAGGGAGCTCAACATCCTCATAACTATTTTCCCGATCATATTATGTGCTGGTTTGGCCGCTGGCAGCTCACATGATAAACAGGCACATCATGTGTATAATGCCTTGATTTCAACTAAAACTTTATTTACAAGATAATGATAGCCTTTACGATACATTTGCTTATCATTATAGCTACAGTATGAGCTTTCATGAGCTTTCACAAATGATCAGTGAACTATGAGAACAGTAGATCTATACAGTAAATGGATGGATTTATTGTGATGGACTCATAGTTAAGAGCAGACACATGAGTACAAACCTTGGTGTTGCATGTTGCCCTGTAAAAGTGAAAAAGAAAAGGAGAGCAACACACTGTAGGAGCTCAGATGCAATAATTTAATAACCTAATAACCAACGTTTTGACAGACAGCTAAAATGATTGCATCTGAGCTCCTAGAGTGTGCTGCTCTCCTTTTCTTTTTCAAGTGTTCTACTCCGCTAGCCAGCACCTCGCCTAAACAGATGTGCGTTACTTTCGCCTCCAGATTGCCCTGTAAAAGTGGCCAACAAATTGTCAGAGGGGGAACAAAAACTCTCACTTCCCTAACAAAGGGAGAAGATTGTATTCGCTTGTGGTTTAATGACATTATCAGATGTGATAATGATTGTAAAACCTTGCTCTAACCACAAAAAAACAGAACTGTGGACTGTGGGGCTTTCTAAGGGAATCTTTTCTATGTTGAGAAGTAATATGTGCACTGCAGCGACACACATTTGAATTGCTTGAAAATAGGTAAATCAATGATAAAGTTCATTCAACACTGAACATACAGTTTGAGCCCCACCATGGAGTTAATTTAGCATCAGGCCCATCATTAAGTATGTCCTCAGCTTTCTTTTGCAACAACAGTAGGCTAAAGTGACATTATATATATAAAAAAGAGGGCTTAATCAATGAGGTGTCTTAAATAACCTCTGACTGCATGAACAAGATTTACCTGTAAATGTCCATTCACATTTAAATAATCATTAGCCTATGTATGGTTTTTGCGAGGTGATCATACTGGTAATCCTACAGTATGTTCTTTACAAGCCTCCTCAGGCCTTCTCAGACAGCTTGGTCAGGTTACCATCTCTGTGGTAGGTTCCTGTATCTAGGCCTGTAGATTAGCTGTCTCGGAGGAGGAAGGAGAGGCAGGAGAAAGGCATGTCAGCCAGACAGTTTGTATTGGTGATGGTGACCTGCATGTCACTGAAAAGAACTCTTCTATTATCTCCAGTGTTCCCTGCGGTTCCCAGTTTCCTCTTCAGCTCAGTGAGACGCTGCAGGATCACCCGCTTCTCCCTGCCCCGCACCAAGCCCCTGAAGTACAGCACAGCCGATAGGTGCTTCTTACTGCAGACAGAGAGAGGTTACAGAATATCACTCTTGGAGAATCAGCAGGAGAAATGGAACCGTAAACTGTTTTGTGAAATGAATTGGTGTCACGACTTCCTCCGAAGCTGCCTCCTCTCCTGATTCGGGCAGGCTTCGGCGTTCGTCGTCACCGCCCTTCTAGCCACTGCCGCTCCATATCTCATCATTCCATTTGTTTTGTCTTGTTTATTACACACACCTGGTTCATATCCCCTCATTAGTACTTGTATAAGTGTTCCCTCTGCCCCCTTGTCCCCCTTGTTTATTGTGAGGAGAGTGTAGCTCGTTTGAGCTCCGTGTATTTTGTATTGCCAGGGTATTTTTCTCTGTGTGCCTGTTGGGTTCCAGTGCGCCTGTTTTGCGCACTAGACTGTTTGACGCATTTCTGCTTAACACTGTATTCCGGAATAAATTCTGTATTCTGTGATTTACCCTCCTGCGCCTGACTCCTTCAAATCACCAATCACAATTGGTCTAAAATTCCGTAGTCTCAGCACCCAGAACCAAATCAGCTAGCTACTCGATTTTGTTAAGGGGGCTATCATGAGAGATAAAAAAAAAAATCTGTCAGTCTTGATTTGGAGAAGTTTACTAGAGTTCAGATAAAAAATCTAATCAACTGAGAGGTTCACAAAAACCCAGACCAGGGCAATTACCTCGGAAAGTACAGCACTTAACGCCCTATTCCGAGAAAACCAGGCGCCAGTGTTCACGCCTCATCAGGGTACTCCCTCCGCTATTCCCACACTGTCACCTCTGCCTTGTAGTAACTCACTCTCGCTGTCATCCTCCCTCGAGGCTCAGGCTGGTCCTGCCCATCCTACATCCTGCTGTCTGGGAATCAACACAGCTCTCTATCACATTTGGAACAGCACTATCTGCCTCTCAATCTGTTACCGTCTAGTCAACACGCTTCCCCTGTCTGATGAACACTGCTGACCATTGACCCACTTCGTCTTCCACTGCTGTTCTTCTCAGGGCCATAACAGAGTCAGAGTAGAATTCATATGAGGTGTTTTTACTCAGATTATATTTTGTAATTGATACTGTGCATATTACACTGGTATACTCTGTTGATCACCAACATCAACAGATACAATATGTGGCCACAGGAAGATGCAGGATTACCTGATGTCTGGGTAGTCCGCTACTAAACGTGTCAGGTGGTTCTTTATTTCCCTCTTGTTCTTTTCCCCAATGATGTTACTCAGGTGGTCTCCTACTGGGTGGAGCCAGTCATGGGTTGTCTTCTACAAGAGGAAATTATTATGAGTGTGTCTACTAGTCATGAATGGTGATAACACAAGTCATTTGTTTATGACAGCACTGAATTTTCAAAGTAGCATTCCTCAAAGCACAAAGACATAACACTGAGACAAATGTATGTACTGTAGTATTTACAATTTTAGACAATGTTGAATGAACATGAAAAGTAAAATTTGTGTGGATGTAAATTGGCCCAAATTCAGTTTGTAGTTCAGGGTTAAGAAGTGTTACCATTTCCTCAAACAGATCCTTGAGTTTATCCCACTCTACCCTCATCTTGGTGGCTGCTTTGTCATGCTTCCTGTTCTTACAGGAGTAGTTGTTTTTCATCAGCTGGGATACATACTCTTTCACCACGTAGTAGTGCAAGCTGCTCACAAACATCTGATGCAGAGGAACACAGGGCAGGCACAGTGGAGGCAAGAGAAAGGGATTACAAATAGACATGAAAGTCTGCTGTTTATTCTTTCGCTTTCACATGACTGCCATGACTGATCACCTGAGTGACACCCATCCTCCTCCCATCCTCTTTTCCTGCCATTTACCCCTATTGCCACATCAACTCAACTCATTTTCCATTCTATGCACGGTCACGTTCCAGTATGGTAAGGGGAGGAAATTCTCAAGTCTTTTCCAGTAACTCCAACTTCCTATGGATCATCATGGGCATGACTTTGCTTAATTGAGTGTATATCCTGCATTTAAAACAATATGAACAGCACTTCCCCATTCCTTACCTGTACATATGGAGGTCTCATTTGTGAACAGCGCTGGGACAGCTTCTCTGTCCTGCTATACAGCTGTTGGAAGTCCTCATCTGTGGAGAGCCACTTCCTCGTCATCATTCTCCTGAGGTATGGCTGGAAAAAGCAACAGACACCTATTCACTCACTAATTTGTTCATTCATTCATTTATTTGTTTGTTCACCCATCCATAACATTGACAGCAGGAGCGATTGAGAGAAAGCCTTTACAGAAACGTGTGCAAGGAAATCAGTAGGCTACCAAACTAAGTAACTTCCAGGTCACCCGAGACAAGTAGGAAAGATGTCAATCACCTCAACACACTCTGACCAACTTAGGCTATCAGGGCATTTGTAGAACGAGGACCAGGTCAAAGGTCAATCAAACATCCCTCCCTAACCTACCCTGACATCATTCTTAAACTGGTCCTCCAGGCCCTGGACCAGTCTATGGACCAAGCCTTCCACCTCTCTGCTGAGATGTTCCACCTGGGTCGGGCAGCTCTCCCTGTAACCCTCCATGTGCTCCCTGTAGGAAGAGAAAGAGGGAAATGAAACAGGTCTGAGGTCAGAGGTTAGGTCAGGTTATCATGCATACACACCAGCGCGACAGAGTTTCTAAACCCAGAGGCGCCACATTGCGAGACTTCCGGGAATGCTTGCGAAACAGACCAAGGGAAGGGTTTCAACAATGGTTGTAAGCAATGTTCACTCACGTTTTGGGGGGCACTGAGCAAATTTCAGCTCTGTTGAGTGCAAACTTGAACGTTGTGAAACTTCTCTGCAACGTCCAGCGTGCGGAGGCTGTACCCGCTTTAAGTTACAGTTTCAGACAGTAGTCAAATAGGCTACTGTGGATGATCATAATGTCGCCTACAAGAGTGGCCTACCATAAAAAACAATGGAGAAAGTGCATCCCATAACATGGAAATAGCTGTTCTATCATTCAGCCTACGGTAGCAACCAATGTGTGGTGTTCAATGTAGGCCTACATTCCATGAGACTTTTTAAATAAACATGCAGTGCTTGACATTAACTTGTTTATCCACTTGTCCTTCAGACAAGGAGGTGACTGAAAATGTTGTTGTGTTGTTTGATGCAAGAAACCACTTTACAAAATAAAATGCATTATTATTCCCATACCATTATTACAGAGAATCAGACAAATTATGCAACCCTCTGCCTAATGGCTATTTAGCTTATTCAACCTGTCTCAAAATACAACACTTCCCCTTTAAGACAAAAAAAAAGCTATTTACCTGACTCGCTTTTCAAAGATGTCTAGAAATGTACACGTTTTGTGCTCTTGTAAGAAGCAATCACTTCCCCATTGCTGACTACAAATTATATAATAATAATATGCCATTTAGCAGACACTTTTATCCAAAGCAACTTACAGTCGTGTGCATAAATATTTACGTATGGGTGGTCCTGGGGATCAAACCCACTACCCTGGCGTTAAAAGCGCCATGCTCTACCAATTGAGCTACAGAGATGATCTACAGTACCAGTCAAAAGTTTGGACATATATATATTCAAGGGTTTTTCTTTATTTTTACTATTTTCTACATTGTAGAATAATAGTGAAGACATCAAAACTATGAAATAACACATATGGAATCATGTAGTAACCAAAAAAGTGTTAAACAAATCTAAATATATTTTATATTTGAGATTCTTCAAAGTAGCCACCCTTTGCCTTGATGACAGCATTCTCTCAACCAGCTTCATGAGAAATGCTTTTCCAATAGTCTTGAAGGAGTTCCCACATATGCTGAGCACTTGTTGGCTGCGTTTCCTTCACTCTGAGGTCCAACTCATCCCAAACCATCTCAATTGGGTTGAGGACGGGTGATTGCGGAGGCCAGGTCATCTGATGCAGCACTCCATCACTTTCCTTCTTGGTCAAATAGTCCTTACACAGCCTGGATGTGTGTTGGGTCAATGTCCTGTTGAAAAACAAATGATAGTCCCACTAAGCCCAAACCAGATGGGATGGCGTATCGCTGCATTATATTGTGGTAGCCATGCTGGTTAAGTGTGACTTGAATTCTAAATAAATCACTGACAGTGTCATCAGCAAAGCACCCCCACACCATCACACCTCCTCCTCCATGCTTCATGGTGGCAACCACACATGCGGAGATCATCCGTTCACCTACTCTGCGGTTGGAACCAAAAATCTCACATTTGGACTCCAGACCAAAGGACAGATTTCCACCGGTCTAATGTCCATTGCTCGTGTTTCTTGGCCCAAGCAAGTCTCTTCTTATTATTGGTGTCCTTTAGTAGCGGTTTCTTTGCATCAATTCGACCATGAAAATGTAAAAATGTAAAGATGTATGCACACATGACTGTAAGTCGCTTTGGATAAAAGCGTCTGCTAAATGGCATACTATTATATTATTATGAAGGCCTGATTCACACAGTCTCCTCTGAACAGTTGATTTGGGCTACAATCTGAGGTGCAGTTAACAGTTAATTTATCCTCTGCAGCAGAGGTAACTCTGGGTCTTCCTTTCCTGTGGCGGTCCTCATGAGAGCCAGTTTCATCATAGTGCTTGATGGTTTTTACGACTGCACTTGAAGAAACTTTAAAAGTTCTTGAAATTTTCCAGATTGACTGACCTTTATGTCTTAAAGTAATGATGGACTGTCGTTTCTCTTTGCTTGTTTGAGCTGTTCTTGCCATAATATGGACTTAGTCTTTTACCAAATAGGGCTATCTTCTGTATACCACCCCTACCTTGTCACAACACAACTGATTGGCTCAAACGCATTAAGAAGGAAAGAAATTCCATAAATTAACTTTTAACAAGGCACACCTGTTCATTGAAATGCATTCCAGGTGACTACCTCATGAAGCTGGTTGAGAGAATGCCAAGAGTGTGCAAAGCTGTCATCAAGGCAAAGGGTGGCTATTTTGTAGAATCTCAAATATAAAATATATTTTGATTTGTTTAACACTTTTTTGGTTCCTACATGATTCCATATGTGTTATTTCATAGTTTTGATGTCTTCACTATTGTTCTACAATGTAGAAAATAGTAAAAATAAAGAAAAACCCTTGAATGAGTAGGTGTGTCCAAACTTTTGACTGGTACTGTATAACTGGGCTAATACCTCACCAACTAGCAAAGGATATGTACAAATGTGCACGCGTGGCTACATGCAGCTCTCGCTTTGATCTCAAAACAAGCGCATCTACTCACAACCGCCCATGCTGTAAACACAGTCCAGTTCAAAGTGAATGGCACAGATGCATTATGGCAATGGTCTATTTGCATATAGGCCTACTGCAGCTCTGATTGGTTATAGCAGATCGGTCTGTGTAGAGTACGGCCTGAGTCGTGCCTGTCCATGCAATAGAATCCTACTCCGATGCTTTCTGCCTACAACAAAATCTCCTGCATAGTTAGTTTTGCATACTAAGTCTAGCATAGTTCGTTTTGTTTTGGTATGTTGCATTGAAAGTGGCTAATATTGCGTTGATTCAATCACAATTCCCACAGTAAAGGGAAACGTTGATAGTGTTAACTAAAGGGGAAAACTCTAGAAAGTTGAGTGAAGTTCAATCTCAAGCTTCTCTGCACAGGCTGATATTTCTTCTGCGAGGCAGTCCCGGGGGAGCTGCGCGCCTGCGCGCAGTTTAGAGGGAACATTGGTTGTAAGAATGTTTACAATTTCTGATGTTTTGCTTGTGTACCTACAGTGAGGGAAAAAAGTATTTGATCCCCTGCTGATTTTGTACGTTTGCCCACTGACAAAGAAATGATCAGTCTATAATTTTAATCGTAGGTTTAATTGAACAGTGAGAGACAGAATAACAACAACAAAAAATCCAGAAAAACGCATGTCAAAAATGTTATAAATTGATTTGCATTTTAATGAGGGAAATAAGTATTAGACCCCCTCTCAATCAGAAAGATTTCTGGCTCCCAGGAGTCTTTTATACAGGTAACGAGCTGAGATTAGGAGCACACTCTTAAAGGGAGTGCTCCTAATCTCAGCTTGTTACCTGTATAAAAGACACCTGTCCACAGAAGCAATCAATCAATCAGATTCCAAAGTCTCCACCATGGCCAAGACCAAAGAGCTCTCCAAGGATGTCAGGGACAAGATTGTAGACCTACACAAGGCTGGAATGGGCTACAAGACCATCGCCAAGCAGCTTGGTGAGAAGGTGACAACAGTAGGTGTGATTATTCGCAAATGGAAGAAACACAAAAGAACTGTCAATCTCCCTTGGCCTGGGGCTCCATGCAAGATCTCACCTCGTGGAGTTGCAATGATCATGAGAACGGTGAGGAATCAGCCCAGAACTACACGGAAGGATCTTGTCAATGATCTCAAGGCAGCTGGGACCATAGTCACCAAGAAAACAATTGGTAACACACTACGCCGTGAAGGACTGAAATCCTGTAGCGCCCGCAAGGTCCCCCTGCTCAAGAAAGCACATATACAGGCCTGTCTGAAGTTTGCCAATGAACATCTGAATGATTCAGAGGAGAACTGGGTGAAAGTGTTGTGGTCAGATGAGACCAAAATGGAGCTCTTTGGCATCAACTCAACTCGCCGTGTTTGGAGGAGGAGGAATGCTGCCTATGACCCCAAGAACACCATCCCCACCGTCAAACATGGAGGTGGAAACATTATGCTTTGGGGGTGTTTTTCTGCTAAGGGGACAGGACAACTTCACCGCATCAAAGGGACGATGGACGGGACCATGTACCGTCAAATCTTGGGTGAGAACCTCCTTCCCTCAGCCAGGGCATTGGAAATGGGTCGTGGATGGGTATTCCATCATGACAATGACCCAAAACACACGGTCAAGGCAACAAAGGAGTGGCTCAAGAAGAAGCACATTAAGGTCCTGGAGTGGCCTAGCCAGTCTCCAGACCTTAATCCCATAGAAAATCTGTGGAGGGAGCTGAAGGTTCGACTTGCCAAACGTCAGCCTCGAAACCTTAATGACTTGGAGAAGATCTGCAAAGAGGAGTGGGACAAAATCCCTCCTGAGATGTGTGCAAACCTGGTGGCCAACTACAAGAAACGTCTGACCTCTGTGATTGCCAACAAGGGTTCTGCCACCAAGTACTAAATCATGTTTTGCAGAGGGGTCAAATACTTATTTCCCTCATTAAAATGCAAATCAATTTATAACATTTTTGACATGCATTTTTCTGGATTTTTGTTATTGTTATTCTGTCTCTCACTGTTCAAATAAACCTACCATTAAAATTATAGACTGATCATGTCTTTGTCAGTGGCAAATTTACAAAATTAGCAGGGGATCAAATACTTTTCCCCCTCACTGTATGTGATTTTTTTAATGGTGTAACTATGTGATGTTTCTTGTGAAACTGTGAGGGTTTTCTGAGTCTGTTTGGAAACTTTTGTGACAGATGGATTTGGTCATTTGGGGAAGAATGGCTATGTTGTTTGGATAGAGCTGATTGATGAGATTACCCAAACAAACATTATGCCAATAGTAGGCAATAAGTATAAAGTAATATGTGACCATTATCA